GGGTGACGGTGAGTGAAGGGCATAGTCATAGATGAGGATTCTGGAAAACCAAAGTTTGTTACTAGAATATTGGTTGTTAGGAGTGAAAGAGTTGAACTAGAAAATAGAATGAGAAGAGTAACCCAAAACAAATGTTTCTATTTAACAATTTTAATTTGAGCTAAATTTAATGGGGAGGTAACTTGATTCTTATTTTTTATTTGAAAGTTTGCTCTAGTTTATTTCTAAGTAAAATTATTGGTAGTCTCTTTGTTTTAACTCAAAACATTCCTGAAAACTAGAGCATAAAGAATGTTTATGAAGCCGATGATGTTTTCCCTTGGGAATAGTTCTGAAACTTTATGTTGACTTTCTGACCTAGGAGTTAGCATTTGATACACCATAAACAAGACCAGACATGCCTCATAATGATTAAGTAATTACTGTAAATATCTATCATATAACCTACTAAAATTGTAATACCAATTTGATAAAATGGTTATAGATAAACTGAGCACATCTTTTATAAAAAGGAATCCAATAAACTATACATTTTGGGGAGAACATTAAAAATGTCATTGACTGCTGATCCTTTACATGGTCTCTCTGAAGGCAGTAGGGAGCTAGTAAAAAGCTGCTTGAATGAGCCAACAGAAGATTTGGGAAGTTCATTTCACTTCTGAGTCTCACATATGGTCCCTTTCCATTCGTTCTAACATTCTATGGAACTATATTCTAAAATTAATGTGCTAGTTAGTTTATTGAATGCTAGCTATAATAAACATTAAGCAAGATTCGAAATAATTTCTTATGCCTCAGAATTTGGAAGAGTTTTGAGTGTGTTCAATGGGCCTGCTTCAGAAGGTTGTTAAAGAACTTCGAAATGATTATTTCCTGTTTCTTTAGCTATAGTCTTGTGGCAAGCAGTCTTCTAAATTATTCCCCCATTATCAAAGTCGTCCATGTTCAAAAGGTGATTAGTGATGCCGATGATAAGGTTTTTTCTTTAATTGAAAAGCATTTTATAAATAAGAGCTAACCATCTACTTTCTCCTTTACTCTCCTCTAACTCCCTAAATAGTTCAGAGTTACAAAGATGGCAACTTAGCGATAAACCAAAGTAAGGCACCAAGACACAGTGGGGTTCAATTATTTTGTTATACATTTAGCTACAAACCTACTCCTTACTTTGCTAATCTCACAATTACCGCCAGATTATTAGCAAAATCTTGTGACAAAGGAGTTTCAAAATACCTTTCACAGAATCCACAAAAAGATAATACCTTGAATGTAGCTTCCTTTAACCTTCAAAACAGGTCAGGTAAAAGTGGCAAGCCTGTGTGTTAATTAAGTGATAGGAAATGGATGAAATGGAGAAAAGGCAGAGATGAAGAGTGGTTTCCTAAAGAGGAAAAAGGATAGCTGATTTCAGCAATTTTCATATGAAAAGTTTAAAACTGTGGTTTATTAATACTGAAATGCCATTTAAATTTTTATTGATTTATTTTTTATTGTGATATAATTGGCATAGAACGTTATAATAGTTTCAGGTTTACAAAATAATGATTCAATACATGTATTGCAAAATGATCCATCACCACGTATAGTTAGATTTAAAAAAAAAAAAAATTAACATTCATCACCTTTTCTTAGGTGTTGATCTCTCTCGCAAATTAAAAAATTGTGAATTCAATTTGCAGTAAAGAGATTTAAATTAAAAAACTTTAGACATTGAAAATTATTTTCTCTAGAATCCTAAATATCATTAATTTAAAGTCATCTATTTTTACAAATTATACACTGGCTGTGTCCCTCAACTATATTTTTCTGGCTTTCACTTATTTTGAAAATGAACAAATATTATTAGAATGACAAATTTACTAGAACTGAAGAGAATGCTTAGGTTCCCAAATGTTACCTTAGCCCCACTCAAATGTAAGACCTTGAATCTCTTAAATTTCTGCCTGACTTAGAAATAAAACATTAAATTAGTGAGATTCCTCAGGATTTATAAATTTTAAACTCTCTCTATATATATACGCATATATATATGGTTCCCAATATGGCATATAGAAATATAATTATATAATACTAGTATTAAATTGATAAACAAAAATAAAATAGAACTAACAACAGACCTAACAAGACCAGTATAAGCAGCTCACCTATTACAAGCTCTACTCAAAGGCAATGTTGCGCAAACTAAATTTATAGGCCCTGGATAACTTCCCCAATGTTGGCCTCCTAAAAGCTCTGCACTGATGTGTTCAAGAAACTAGCAGCATACTTCACCTTGGAAAAGTAATATTATAAAGACACTGCCATTAGTGATTTTATGTACTTCTACATACTCTTCTTGAATTTGAAATAACAGATAAGTTCAGGTAATAATTTTTGTTCTCTTTCAAATTTTATGACTAAAATATTGAATTGTGTTTTATGGTCTACATTTATTATTTTCTGTAGAGTCAGCCAGCAGCTTTAGGCAAAGAATACCTTTGGAGTCTGGAATCAGATGCAAAGAAATCAGAGGTTTAAAATGAGTAATCGTGTATTCTGGAAGCATAAGGCATTTTCAAAGTTTCTGAAATACAACTAAATAACTGCATACTGTATAATATATAAGCAATAATTCCCCAACTGTCTGTATAATTTCTTTTTCTTTTGAGGCTAGGATAATTTTCTATTCAAGTATGGTCCAGGATTATAGTTATAAAACTTTATTTTCTCCAGAGCAGTTTTGGGAGTTTTTTTGGAGGAACAGTTTTTTTAGCAAATTGTACACTGGCAATGGCAAGAAATTTTCACCTATGAAGACTTTAACAAGGTCACAGGGATTATCCAGTCTTAACTTCTAAGAATTAAACTGAAAGAGGAATATTTAAAGTGGTAGATTCAATAAGAAAAGCTATATATTATTGACGCAACAGAACAAAACTCTAAAATGTCTCTGGATCTTTTTCTTTTTAAATAGGTTCTCCTCATTTTGATGGACCAGATACAACTTATTATAACTTGTTTGAAAATAATGAAAACCTGGTTTCTTCAGGAGAAGGATGGAAAGCACAGGATTTGGACCTGGATTCTAATCTTGTGAGCTCCTAACTTTTTGCATGACCTACAAGGTCCTAGAGCTATTATAGCCACATTGATAAACTTTGGTTTCTTTATTCACCAGAATGTGAGTCTAACACATATAGTCCTCAATTTAGGATTTCTCAACTTTATGATGGTAGGAAAACCATACACGTAATAAATTTCATGAGATATTCAACACTTTATTATAAAATAGGCTTTGTGTTAGATAATGTTGCCAAATCTATCAATATCTGTAGACAAACATAAGTGTTCTGAGCACATTCGAGGTGGGTGAGGCTAAGCAATGATGTTCCATAAGTTAGGTGCATTAAATGCATTTTTGACTTATGATATTTTCAATTTATGAAGGGCTTATCAGGATGTAACCCCATCATAAATTGAGAAGCATCTGTCCTAACCAGGCTGTGATAAGTGAGACAGTGCATTTGTACATGAAAACATTTTGAACAATACTTTGCAAGCTATTAGGGAAAAGCATATGCCAAGCACACTTAGTTTTCATGATAGTATATATGTCACAGGCTAGCTAGGTTGTAAATTTAGTTTATTTCATGGCTTTTTTGCACCCTCTAACTTAAGAGCCAACCTAAACAAATTCTGCATCAGGGACTGTCTATATGTTTTATTTGGCTAAACAGATCTACTCTCATTTTGAGCACTCACTGGCCATTATAGATAGTGATGACCAAAATCTAGTTAGAATATCATAAAAATTAAGCAGTATGCAATAAATTCCACGATTCCACTGAGGCATTTGAGAAATAATTTACTTTCTTAGAATCCAGGTCAAGTACAGAAACAAAATTATCATTTCTGCATAACCTCAATTTTCCCTTCTCAAGTACATAGATCAAATGCACTACGGGTTTTCTTTCACGAGGTTTGTGGTTATTATGTTTGTTTTACTTGTTTTTACACAGAGAACCTCTGTTGGCCTTTAAAATGTAATTTACCAATGTAACTGATGTATTTTTGCCACCAACAAAATAAATACATATGACTAAATGAATGCATACTCATTTCAGCCTGTAAGATTTGTTTTTAAATTATTCTATTTGCAGCGAGGGGAAAAATATGAGATCATTTCTTTCCCTTCTGCCAAAAGCAAGCTGATTTCCCCAACCCATGTGGACAGTTGAGCAGTAAGTCTAGCGTACTAGCGTGCTAGTGTGCTTGAGTCTCTCGACTCGTGTCCCGCCATCTGTGGGCACACACGCATCCACACCAGTACACTGGAAGGGGCAACACTCAGTCGGCACAGCATCTCCAGTTCGACTACGATTGTGCTGACCATATAGCTGTATCCAATAGGCAGTCTATCGCAACTGCCTATTGGATAGGAAAAGAAAGAGTACTCGGTAGAGTGCAGTTGCTCCCATCCATTCTTTCCCACTTATAAATACAACTTGCTACTCCTCTTCCCACGTGCGTTCCGAGTGCTGAAACACACACACACACACACACACACGCACACACACACACACACTCGCATGCAAACTCATACACGTGCACACCGTCCCTTGCCCAGCCGCAGGCCGGGACACGTCTTCA